CAGCCACAGCCACAGCCACAGCCACATCCACATCCACATCCACATCCACATCCACATCCACATCCACATCCACACACACACACAAACGAAGACATTGTACCAACGGCACTAGCGACATGTATGGTAACTTTTAACCATACGAAGCATGCTCACGATGATCACAGCAAAGACACCCGTAAAACTTCATCGAACTAAGGAAGACTTTTCGTTTTGTACGAAGCCTCGGTAGCTCCGCAATGGGACATAGGCTTTCATGATCTATCATGCGACAAACTGATAGTTGCTACACAGTGTGACGGTGCTGCCCCTGTTGAAGGCAATGTAGACGAAGATAGCAATAACAACAATGATTTCAATAATGCTAACAAAGACGAGGCATGTTTCCCATTTTATGATGAAGGTCCACAGACGTCTCCAGAGCGAGCTTATAGAGCTGCGAGACTACAAGGTTCTCGGCTGCAAATGATAAAACTAGCAGAAACTTTACTTCACTGCATAGCCACGCTGGATTGTCATGTCGCTTTAGTATTTCGAGAAGCAGGCTTACGACCTGGACTCGGGCAGCGAGTTGTAAGGGATGGCTGGAGTTGGAAGATGCCTTCACTTGGTTGCGGCGACGCTTTCTGCGCAGGTTCTCCTTCGAGAGTATCGCCGTGTTCGCCTGGAAAAGCTGAGTGAGACACTGGGCAAGGTGCAGGCTGCGATCCGGGTTCTGCAGAAACGCTTGGGAAACTCACGGGGTCCCTTGCGGGAGGCAGCCGAGCCCCAACACAACATGAAAAGACACATCCGGAGTTCTTCGCAGCAAGAGCTCCGAGCATTTGCAGGATGGTCGCCGACTCCGGCATTGCGTCCGCCGGGGCCTTCCAGCCGGCGGTGCGCGCATTGCAGATTGTGGGCTTTGCATGGGGATAGGCGTGGGATCCAGCATAGCAGCGACGGGGCCTTCGATGGATAAGCTTTGCCAGGCCTGCCGCACGTGCACAGCATACACGGCATGCACATCTTGGGGACGCAAGGGCCCCTCGTGGCACTCGTGAGGACTGACGATTTCTCTCAGCTCGCCCAGGTGTCATGATCCGGAACGGAGCCCAGCGCATTCTGCAGCGCTGTTGCCTCAGGGCATTTTAGGGAAGACGCGCATCTTCCAAGCCTCAGCCGTCCCATCTGCGACGAGGGGTGGATGCTGCTCCTGGTGATGTGGCTCCGAGCTTTCAAGTCCCCGACAGACTTTATTTCACTTGAGTGCCCGGGCCGCTTTGACTCTCCAGGCACAGCCATGGCCAGGTTCGTTTTGCTTTGGCTAAGCTTCCTGAGTGTGAAAGCACACCAGACTTGCACGAAGGGGAGGCTCTTTGTTGCCGACAAGGATGCATCCAAGGTTCACGTCCTTGACCTTGATGACGCCAACAAGGCAGTTGTGGCAAGCCTCGACGCGCCAGTAGCAGGAGCACGTCTGATGGCAACGGACACAGACATGGCTACAGTCATTGCGGTTGATCGTGGTTCCAGCGCGCAGGGCTCGGTACATTTCTA